TACTACCTCAAAAATGAAGTATTGATGAGGAAATGGAGACTGTCACATATTCAGGCAGATGAGAAATGGGCAAAAGTTCAAGCTGTGTTACCGGTAGTTTATAGAAAGGAAGTGTTGTGGTTAACACGTGGATTACCAGTAGGAGGTCATTTGGGAATAAGGAGAACTCAAGGCAAAATACAAAAACATTTCTATTGGCCTGGACTGCATAAGGAAGTGGTTGAATTTTGATGGACATGTCAAGTAATCTGAAAACCTCAGGCAGTGAAAAAAACAACACCCTTAATACCTGTTCCTGCATTTGAGGAACTCTTTACAAGAGTCTTAAATGATTGCATAGGACGCCTACCTAAAAGAAAAAGTGGGAATCAGTATTTGTTGGCCATAATGGATGTGTCTATTAGATTGCCAGAGGCTATTCCATTATGCAGTATCATGGTTAAAAGGATTGTAGAAGAGTTTACTATATAACAGGGGAGGCAATGGCCTAGTGGTATTATCACTGGACTATTAATCCAGAGACCTGGATAACATTCTGCAGACCTGGGTTTGAATCCCACCACAGCAGAACTAAGAATCTAATGATGACTGTGTGCCAATTGTTGGGGGTGGGGGGGACACCTGGTTCACTAATGTCCTTCAGGGAAGGAAACTACCATCCTTACCTGGGCTGGCCTACACGTGACTCCAAACCCACAGCAATGTGGTTGACTTTTAACTGCCCTCTGGGCAATTAGGGATGGACAATAAATGCTGCCTAGCCAGTGACATCCTCATCCCATTGACAAATAAAGGGTGAGAAAAAGATACTTACAGAGATACAATCAGATCGAGGGTCAAATTTTACATCAAAATTATTCAAGGATATTATTGATAGCTTAGGAATAAAACAACTCAAATCCACTGTATACCATCCAGAATCACTGGGAACATTAGAACGGTGGCAGCAAACTTTAAACACCACATTTGAGGGCCTATAGTCAAGACCATCCAGAGGATCGTTTGTATGTTTTGCAGTTAGGAATGCATCTAATGAATCAACTAAATTCTGTCCATTGAATTAGTTTTGGGCTATGAGGTGTGAGGACTACTGAAATTAATTAAGGAAAAATTGGTGAGTCAGAGTTCAGAGCCAACATATTTAGACTTTGTGTCAAATTTTAGGGTAAGATTAAATGGAGCAGGTGAGTTGGCTCAACAAGATTTGAAAGTAGCACAGCATGTGATGTGACAGGAAGCAGACAAGAAATCAAAATTCACAATTTTGCTAGTGGAGATAAAATATCAGTATTACTCCCCATGGTACGAGAAGCTTTAAAGGCAATGATTTGTGGGCCATGTCAAATCAAAAAGAAATTCAGCGACATGGGACAGGACATACCCAGGGATGGTGATAGTGGTATCTGGGACAATTTCTGTAAGGTATGATTCCGTGGATATGACATTATCAGGCTGTTGGTTAACTAGTCTGTGAGACTGCTCTCCCAATTTTGGCACTCGCCCACAGACGTTAGAAAGGGGGACTCTGCAGTGTTGAAAGGACTGTTTCTGCCATTGTCTTTTCCAGTGCCTAGGTCGATGCCAGGTGATCTGGCTGGTTTCATTTCTTTGAGACTTTGTAGTGATTGGTACAACTGCTAGGCCATTTCAGATGGGAATTGAGAGTCAATCACATTGCTGCAGGTCTGGAGTCATATGTAGGCCAGACCAGATGAGGACAGCAGATTTCCTTCCACGAAGGGCATTAGTGAACCAGATGGTTTTTTTCCCCCCAAACAATCAACAATAGTTTCATGGTCATCAGTAGATTCTTAATTCCAGATTTTTTAAATTGAATTCAAATGTTACAATCTGCCACAGTGGGATTTGAACCCAGGTCCCCAGAACATTAGCTGAGTCTCTGGATTAATAATCTAGCGATAATACCACTAGGCTATCATTTCCTATCTATGGTTGCCTTTTTACCTAGAGGACTGGAGTACAAGGATGCAAGAGTTATGCTGCAGTTGTACAAAACCCTGGTTAGACACTATTTGGAGTATTGTGAGCAGATGGGGGCATCACACCTTAGAAAGAATATAAAACAAAGAACTGCAGATATGGGAAATATGAAAAACAGGAATTGCTGGAGTAACTCAATAGATCTTTTGTTTTGAAGAAAGATCACTAGATCTGAAACATTGACTCTGCTTTCTCTCCACAAATTCTGCCATACCTGGTGAGTTTCTCCAGCAATTTCTGGTTTTGTTTGGTAAGGCTATATTAGCCATAGAGTAGGTAGAACATAGTTTACAAGAATGATATCTGGGCTTAAAGGGTTAAATTATGAGGCGAGATTACATAGATTAGGCATGTTTTCTCTAGAATTTGGACCATGGGGGCATTGTCCGAGAATTAGGGTCAGACCATTCAGAACAAGTGTTAGAATGCACTTCTACATGCAAAGGATGATAGATAAAACCAAAAACACTGCAGATGCTGTAAATCAGGAACAAAAACAGAAGTTTCTGGAAAAACTCAGTAAGTCTGGCAGCATCTGTGAAGAAAAAATCAGAGTTAACATTTTGGGTCCAGTGACCCTTCCTCGGAACTCAGGATGATAGATGTTTGGAATTCTCTTCCACAAATGGCAGTTGATGCCATATTGATTACACTTAAATCCAAGATGGATAAATTTATGTTAAGCAAAAGTATTAAGGGATATGGGCCACAGCTCTTCCATGATCTCATTGAATGGTGCAACAGGCTCAAAAAGGATGAATGTCCTACTCCTGTTCCTAAGAAAGTGTGAGGAACAGCATTTGTAGTGAAAAATAAGGCAAGGGAATACACTATAAATAACAGGGTACTGAGAATTGTAGAGAAACAGAGGAACTTTGAAATGTTCATCTCAAGATGCCTGATTGATAAGCTGTAAAAAGGCCTATGGAGGAATTTTGGTACAAAGAACAATACAGCATAGGAACAGGCCCTTCGGCCCTCCAAGCCTGTACTGACACATTCTGCCCTTCCATACGAAAACTGTCTTCATTTACAGGATCCGTATCCCTCTCTTCTTTTCCTATTCATGTATTTGTCCAGGTGATTCATGAATGCTGCTATTGTGTCTGCTTTCTCCTCTGGCAGCACATTCCAGGTACTCACCACCCTTTGTGTGAAAAACTTGCCTCACACATCTTTTTTAAACTGCACACCCATTCCCTCACTCACCTCACCCCGCAACTTGAACCTGCATCCCCTCGTAATTGACCCCTCCAACCTGGGAAAAAGCCTCGTACCTTCCACTCTATCCATGCCATTCACAATCCTATTAACTTCTATCAAGTCGCCCCTCAACCTCCTGCATTCCAGTGAAAACAAATCCAGTCTATCCAACCCTTTTTTCATAGCTAAAATCCCCCATACCAGGCAACATCCTTATAAATCTTTTCTGTACCCTCTCTAAAGCATTCACATCCTTCTGGTAGCGTGGTGACCAGAACTGTATGCAATATTCCAAATGTGGCCTAACCAAAGTTCTGTAAAGCTGCAGCATTATCCTTGTCTGTCTTTATACTCAATGCTGCTTCCAAGGAAGACAAACATGCCATAGGCCTTTTTTGCTACAATAACTACCTGTATTGCCATCTTCAGTGATCTGTAAACCTGCACACCCAGATCCATTTGCATATCAATAATGCTAAGGGTTTTGCCATTCACTGTATAATTTCCACTTGTACTTGACCTTCCAAAATGCATCAACTTAATTTTACTGCCTATGCCTCCAAATGATCTATATCTTGCTGCATCCTCTGACAATCCTCCTCAGACCAGCCACATTTTCCTCCAAAATTATTAATGTAGACCACTAACAGCAGAGGTCCCAGTACTGATTCCTAGTGGTGAACATTCCAAAAAGCATCCTTCCACCACTACTCTCTGTCTCCTATGACGAAGCCAGTTCTGTATCCATCTTGCCAGCTCACCCCGATACCATGTGACTTCATCTTTTGTACCAAACTGCCTTGTCAAAGGTTTTACTGAAATCCACGCAGACAACATCAACCAATTTTCCGTCATCAATCATCTGAGTCACCTCCTCAAAAAACTCAACAAGTTAGTGAGGCATGACTTCCTCCATAAAAAAACGATGCTGTCTATCTCTAATAACTCCATTTGCTTCCAAATGCAAGTTAAAATTGTTTTAATTTTGTTATTGGGATGTGATTGAGGCTGGCAAGGCCAGTATTTGGTGCCTACCACAAATGCCCTTGTTCTTTATTAGCTGAGGTTCAGAATAGCAGGGAGAATCTGCTCTAAGTGTACAAAACACTTGTCAGGCCACAGCTGGAGAATAGCATCTGGTTCCAGTTACCAAAACAAGGATACTCCAGAAAGGGTATGGAGGGGATTTATTAGAATTGCTGCCAGCACTGCAGAACTTTAGCTCAGAATTTTGACTGTTTTTATTTACATTGAAACAAAAGATGATGAGGGGGCAATTTAATTAAGGGGGACAAAATCATTAGGTGATTGGAGAATTCCTTCCTATCCATACTTCCTCCTTGAGCAGAGAGGTCAATAACTGGGGTGCATTGATTTTAAAATAACAGGTAGATTAGGAGAGAGTCGAGAAATGTTTTCGTTTTGAGGACAATGGGGATTTGGAACTCATGCCTGAAAAGATGGTTGAAGCAGAAACTCTCCTCACATTTGAAAAGTGCTGGAATTATTCTTGAACTGCTGGATTACAGATCAGGAGTTGGGAAGTGGGAATAGGCTAACCCAGACCTGAAAGTCATGTGGCCTCATTCAGTGCTGTAGATTTTCTGTTTCCATCGTTGAAGGTATTGAAAACTGAGATATGGGTTTGGTCCCTCCGGGAATCGAGGGATACGGGGAACAGGCAGGAAACAGGAGTTGAGGCTGCAGATCAGCAATGATCACATGGAATGGTAAAACAAGCTCAAGAGATTGTACAGTTTACTCCTGTATTTCCTTTAAAGTTCAACAACACATTGTCCATTTTCAGCAAAACTGATTTATTTGGTAGATATACAGAACATTAAATCTTGCCCTGTTACAGGAATTCTTAACAGCAACAGGATGTGATCCTCGGCAGAATCCAATCCTGACAATCACTTGTGAACTCGCTGGTGTGTCAGCAAGTGAGCCGATCGAGCGAATCTCTTCCCACACTTGGAGCAGGTGAATGGCCTCTCCCCGGTGTGTACACGCTGGTGTCTCAGTAGGTTGGATGACTGAGAAAACCCCTTTCCACACACAGAGCAAGTGAATATCCTCTCCCCTGTATGAACCCGTTGGTGTGTCACCAGGTTGGATGAAGAAGTGAATCCCTTTCCACACGCAGAGCAGGTGTATGGCCTCTCCCCAGTGTGAACTCGCTGGTGTTGAATGAGATGAGATGATTGTCTGAATCTCTTCTCACAGTGAGAGCAAGCAAATGGTCGCTCATCAGTGTGAACAAGCTGGTGTTTAATTAAGTCTGGTGAGATTTTAAAGCAATTCCCACAGACAGAGCATTTAAAAGGCCTCTCATCAGTGTGAACCCGGAGGTGTAATTGAAGGCTGGATGATAGAGTGAATCCCTTCCCACAGTCAGAGCAGGTGAATGGTCTCTCACCTGTGTGACTCCGTCGATGAGCTTCCAGCTGGGATGGGGAACTGAATCCTTTCCCACAGTCCCCACATTTCCATGGTTTCTTTGTGATTCGGGTGTCCTTGTGTCTCTCCAGGTTGGACGATCAGTCGAAGATCACACAGAACAAGCGCAGGTTCTCCCCACTGCGAATGGTGTGTGTGGTTGTGTCTCGGTGTTTTTCCAGCCACAATGATGTTCGAAATCTTTTCCCAGAAACAGAACAAACATTTCTTCCACATTCATAGGCTGGTGATATTCAGATTCTGATGAATCCAGTAACTGTGACACTGATGTGATGTTTGCTTTGATTTTCCAGTCTACAAATCATTTCCTTCTACTCCCCTAGAAACAGAGATGGCAGTATCACTTTCAGTCCATGTCAAAAATTCAGATTAGACCATTCAAATTTCTATGGAACATTCTTTACACTCTCATTCGCTTGGATATGTGGTCAAATCAAACTAAAAGAATCTAAATCAGCAAGAGACCAAACTGAATATGAGACAAGAAAAGGGAATCATAAAACCATGAAACATAAAATCAGAAATAGGACATTTACTCCCTTGAGTCTGCTCCACCATTCAATAAGATCACAGTCCTCAACTTCACTTTACTGCCTTATACCTACAATCCCCAATTGCCTTTCTGGTTAAAAATCAGTCATATCAACCTTGAATATGCTGAATGACCCCAGACTCAACAGCTTGTAAAGAATTCTTGGTAACAAATTCCACAGATTCACTACTCTCTGAGAGACGAAATTCCTCCCCACCTTTGAATGCTCCCATGAAACCAGTGAAATGTCATTTGTAGTAAGCGCAAGGCAGCAGATATATGGAAACACCATAATCTGAAAGTTCCCCTCCAGACAAACTTGGAAATATAACCTTATTCCTGCATTAAAATACTGGAACTGCCTTCCTAACAGCAGGAGAAGTAGTGGCACTGTAGTAATTGTAATTTTTTTTATTCATTCACAGAATAAGGGCATCATTGGCTAAGCCAGCATTTATTGCCCATCCCTAACTGCCGAAAGGGTAGTTAAGAGTCGACTACATTGCTGTGGGTCTGGATCACATGTAGGCCAGACCAAGTAAGGATGGCAGTTCCCTTCCTCAAAAGGACATTAGTGAACCAAATGGGTTTTTTCCTGACGATCAATAATGGATTCATGGTCATCATTAGACTCTTGTTCTTTTCTTTAACTGAATTCAAATTCTACCATTTGCTGCAGCAGTATTCGAACACTGGTGCCGAGAACATTCCGAGGTCTCTGGCTTAATAGTCTAGCAATAATACCACTAGGTCATCACCTCCTCAATTAACAACCCAGAGCCCCAGGTTGATCATCTGGGGTCATGGGTTTGAATCCCCCCACAGCAAATTCTGGAATTTGAATTCTAAAAAAAAATCTTGAATTAAGAGGTAACCTAACAGCAATCTGTTATCTTTACCTCCTGTGGTGTACATGTGACTCCAGACCCAAAGCAATGTGGTCGACTCTTAACAAAAACAGAAGTTGCTGGAAAAGCTCAGCAGGTCTGGCAGCATCTGTGAAGACAAAATCAGAGTTAACATTTCAGGTCCGGTGACCCTTCCTCAGAACAGTTCTGATTTACAGACTCCACAGTTCTTTCAGTTTTTATTTAGTGGTTGATTCTTAACTGCCCTTTGAAGCAGCCATACCAAGCTACTCAATGTCAATAACTGCTGGCTCACACGTCATGAATGGAAAAAAAAAGTGGGTGGCTGCAATAGTTCAATGAAGCAACCTTCCCAAGGGGCAATCAGTGACAGGCAATAAATGCTGGTCCAACTAGCAACTTTTGCATCCCCTAAAAAAGACTGCAGCCAGAGAAGCCCAGATTGTGGCAAATATTGGGCAAACCAGTGGATATCTTTGCTTCCTCCCCATGGCCACACACCGGCATGGAAGAGAGGTTGGTAAACTCTTATGAAGAGATTTAGGCAAGATTGTGCCATGGAAACACGCTGGGATCTTACTGAATAGTAGAGCTAGCTCACAGCTAAATGGCCTGAACCTGTTCCTACTTTTTTCTGTCCCTCACATCAGAGGAAGAGTCACATTGGACTCAAAACATTAACTCTGTTTCTCTCTCTGTTGATGGTGCCAGAACCAGAGTTTCTCCAGCACTTTTTCTTTTTATTTCTTCTGTTCTCATATTCAGCCCCCAATCCCAATACGTCCTGTTTATCCATGTCCTACAACCTGTTCTTTCAATCAACAGAAGGACCAGGAGAAGATCCTCTGACTCACCCAATCCCTCTCCACATTGTTCAAAGAAGAGGGGCCTGGTAGTAAAATGCAACACAAAGTGGTACAGCAGCCCACTAGGTAACCACACTGTGCCTACAACCTCTCACACCGAATACATAGATAGTCGACAGAGTCCTTTTGATTTCAAACATCACCTGCAGCCTGGGAATGGGTGAAGCTGTTGAAAAACCCGTTTCCCTGAAATCCATGCACCTCCACAGAGCACTAGGACCCAGTTAAAAAACAGAGACCTGATACCCCGCCACAGCAGCATGAGGGAGGGGGAGAGATTGCGCATGCGCTCCACGCTGATACAAGATGGCGGCCGCTAACAGAGGCCTGTTACCGGGAGCAAAGCTCGGGAGCTAAAAACGCCGGACCTGCGGGATGATATCCATGGTTTGTGGCCTATACCAAACGTTTATAAACATTTTCAGTTCAACCACCGGCTCCATCGCTCCGCCCGCATTACCGCCTCTTTACCGGGTGCAGAGATGACAAAGGAACAGCTCCCGCTGGATAGCATTCGCATTGCGCATGCTTCCAAGTGCCGGGTTCTGCGCCTGCGTACTGCTATTCCCCTTCCCCCACACCAGGGACTTTCTGCTCTGCGGTGAATGCTGGGACAGGTTACACCAGAAAGCATAACAGCAGAAGTTGGCTATTTAGCCCATCGAGTCTGAACTGCCATTCAGTGAGATCAAGATTGGTCTGGTAATTCTTAATTCCACTTTCTTGCCTGTTCGTCATTACTCTTGATTCCCTTTATGGTTAAAATCTGTCAATAACAGCCTTAAATATGCTTAATGATCCAGCTTAACAGCCCTCTTCAGTAAAGAATTCGACATTCACTACCCTCTGTGAGAAAGAAAATGCTCCTTATCTCAGTTTTAAATGGGTGATCCCTCACTTTCAGCTTATTGTCTCAGTTCCTGGACTGTCTCACAATTGGAAACAACCTTTTCAGATCTACCTGTGAAGTCCCTGAAGAATCTAGAATTTTTCAATAAGGATGCCTTTCATTCTTCTAAGTTCCAATGAGTACAGGCCCAACCTACTCAAACTCTCCTCAGAAAATAATCCCTCTATACCTTCTCTGGACTGCCTTCAATTTCGGTATGTCTTTCCTTAGATGAGGGGCTCAAAATTGTTCACAGGATTCCAGCTATGGTCTGACTAGTGGCTTGTATAATTTTAGCAAAAATCCCAACTCTTTTTTTCACTCCATTCCCTTTGAAATTAAAGTCAATATTCTATTTGCCTTCCCTATTACCCATGAACTTGGATGATAGGTTATTGTGATTCATGGATGAGGATTCCTAAATTCTCACTATCCTGTTGCTTTCTGCAGTCTTTCTCCATTTTTAAATACTATTCAGCTCCTCTACTCTTCCTGCTAAAGTGCAAAGCCTCCCATTTTCCCACATTTATATTCTGCCTGCAAAGTTTTGCTCACTCACCTAACCTGTCTATATCCCTGTGTAGACTCTTTGCCATTCTCACCACTTGCCTCCTCACCAATTTTTGAGTCATCTGCAAACTTGGCTATAGTATGTTTACTTTCCTCATCAAAATCCTTAATGTATAAGTAATTGTGGTTGCAGCAATGATCCACTTGGTTGCCATCCTGAAACTGCCACTTTATCTGTCTTCAATTAGTTAGCCAATTCTCTATCCATGCTAGTATACTACCTCTAACATGATGGGCTCTTACCTTATTAAGTAGCCTAACATATGCTACTTTATCAACATCTTCTGAAATCCAAATATATTGTATTAGATACTACTGCTTTACCTTTATCTGCTTGTAACTGCCTCAAATAATTCCAATAAATTTGTCAAGCATGATTTCCCCTTCATGAAGCTTGATTATGTTATGTATTTCTAAATGCTCTTCAATTGCATCCTTTATAATGGACTCTAACATTACACCAATAACAAACATTAGGCTAACTGGTCTGTCTGTCTCTCATTTTTAAATAAAGGTGTGACATTGGTAGTTTTCCAATCCTGTGGGACCTTTCTAGTATCTAAGGATTCTTGGAAGATTACTACCAGTGTATCCATCTCTGTAACTAATTCCTTTAATATCCTAGGATGCATCCCATCAGGTCTTTTTCATTTGTGATAGTTTTGGTGCGATAGGGTTAGGGTTAGGGTTAGGGTTATTGAAAGTCATAATCAAGGAATAGTGAGAGACAACAAGGTGCAGGGCTGGATGAACACAGCAGGCCAAGCAGCATCATAGGAGCAATAGTGATTGCTTTTGCTATGATGTGGCTATTGTGTCGAAATCTATAAAATTAGGAACCAAAAATGCAAGTGCACAGACTTTAAACCAGTGAACAGGACTTGCTTCATACATGACCTTCATACATGTAGCTCCCAACCCCCAGCTGATTCTTAACTGCCCTCTGAGCAATTAGAGATGGGCAATGAATGTTAGCCGAGCCGAGCCAATATGAGACACATTCCCATGAATGAATAAAGGAAAAAAGAGAAGTCTCGTACCCTTCTGACTTGGAACTATATTGTCTTTACTATAGTTCCCTCACTGTCGTTGTGTCAGAACTCCTTTACTAACACTACTCTGAATGTACCTACACCATATAGTGTATATATACACTGCAGTGGTTCAAGGAGGCAATTCACCAATAACTTCACAGAATCCTTCCAGTTTGGAAACAGGCCATTCAGCCCAACAAGTCCACACTGACCCTCCAAACAGCATCCCACCTAGACCCATCTCTATACTCTTTCCCTGTAACCTTACATTTCCCATGGCTAATGCCCCTAACCTATACATCCCTAACACTATGGGCAATTTAGCATAGCCCATCCACCTAATATGCACCTCTTTGGACTGTGAGAGGAAACCAGAGCACCCAGCAGAAACGGGGAGAACATACAAACTCCACACAGACAATTGCCCAAGGGTGGAACTGAACCTGGGTCCCTGGCACTGTGAGGCAGCTGTGCTAACCACTGTGCCACCTGTTCACAAGGGCAGTTAAGGATGGGTGATGAATGTGGGTCATACCAATGAAACCTGCATTTGAACAAAAAATGAAAACAAATGTTGCCAATCTCCCGTTGTTCCTGGAAAAGGTGATGTTCACGAAATTGCTGCAGCACGTATGGTGAAACTTCTTCAACAATGCCCTGACATAAGGTGTTACAGGACTTTCACACACAAAGATGAATTGCTAACAATATATTTTCAAGCCAGTTTGGTTTGCAACTGGGAGGTAACTTTGGAGAAAATGGTATTCCCAGGTTCGTCAAGCAGCTTTGACAAGTTCTGTTTAGGGTCTTGTCATGTTGTCGATGTGAAGTCTGTCTGCAGCTTTACAGAACTTTAGTTAGGCCACACTTGGAATAGTGCGTACAGTTCTGGTCACCACACTACCAGAAGGATATGGATGCTTTGGAGAGCACACAGAAAAGGTTTACTAGGATGTTGCTTGATGTGGGGGATTTTAGTTATGAAACAAGGTTGGATAGACTGGGTTTGGTTTCACTGGAAAGCAGGAGGTTGAGGGGCTACCTGATAGAAGTCTATACGATTGTGAATGGCATGGGTAGAGTGGAAAGTATGAAGCATTTTCCCAGGGTGGAAGGGTCAATTACTAGGGGACACAGGTTTAAGTTGCAGTGTGGGTGGAGGTTGGGGTTCAAAAGAGATGTCTGAGGCAAGTTTTACAAACAAAGGGTGGTGAGTGCCTGAAACAAGCTGCCATAGGGGATAGTGGAAGCAGATACAATAGCAGTATTTAAGAAACTCCTGGATAAATACATGAATAGGAAGGGAATGGAGGAATAAGGATCCTGTAAGTGAAGGCAGTTTTAGTATGGAAAGGCAAAATGTGTCAGTGCAGGCTTGCCGAAGGGCCTTTTCCTATGCTGTATTGTTCTTTGTTCTAATTCACTCCATTACATTTCAACCTCTGTTTTTTTGCCTCGCGTTCTTGTATCGAACCAGACTGAGAGGCAGGTTCCCTTCGTTGCTAGATAGTAGTGGCACACTTGCGTTTTATAACAATCAGACAGTTTTCATGCTCATTTTTTTCCTAATGTTGGCCCCACAAATGACCAGGTTTGTTCAGCTTAATTTCACAATTGGCTGTTTGTGTTTTTCATGCTGTCTTTACCACGTTTTGAATTCATTTTGCAGGATGTTAGAAAGGGAAATTTTGTAGACAGGAACCTCAAGCCAGATATCACATTAGGCTCCGAACATCACCAACCATTGGACATGGAGTCAGGAAGCACTATTCACAGCATGGAGAAACTATACACATGTTCTGTGTGTGGACGAGGTTTCAACCGATCATTAAACTTGTCAAAGCACAAGTGCAGTGTCACTGGGGAGAAACCATGGGAATGTGAGCACTGTGGAAAGGGATTCAATTATTTGTCTGAGCTGAATATTCATCGCCGCAGTCACACTGGAGAGAGACCATTCAGCTGCTCCAATTGTGGTAAAGGATTCTCCAAATCATCCCACCTTCTAAGACACCAGCGAGCTCATACTGGTGAGAGACCATTCACATGCTCAGTGTGTGGCAAGAGCTTCACTAACTCATCAAATCTCTTGTCACACCATCTTATTCACAGTGAGGAGAGACCTTTTAAATGTTCTTACTGTGGAAAGGATTATAAAAGGAAAAATGATCTGTTGACCCATAAACGCAGTCATACTGGAGAGAAGCCGTTCACCTGCTGTATTTGTGGGAAGAGTTTCGCGCGATCATTTGACCTTCTGACACACCAACTCATTCATACTGATAAGAGGCCATTTAAATGTCCTGACTGTCAGAAAAGTTTCAAAACTCGAAATGATCTATTGATGCACCAGCAAAACCATACCAGGGAGAGACCTTTCACCTGCTCTTGCTGTGGGAAAGGATTCACTTGGATGTCTAACCTACTTAATCACCAGCGGAGTCACACAGGGGAGAAACCATTCATCTGCTCTGTGTGTGGAATGGGATTCACTCAGTCATCCACACTGCTGACACACCAGAGAGTTCACACAGGGGATAGACCATTCACCTGCTCCACATGTGGGAAGAGATTCACTCGTTCGTCCACCCTGCTAAGACACCAACGAGTTCACAAGTGACTGCACGGAGTGCATTATTTTGTAAGTGTTGTTGTTAATCATATTCAGGACTAATGTCATTCATTCTGACAATTGGGGTTTGTTTCTGGTGATGTTACTAATAATATAATAGTTAGAGTAAGCATTGATACTCAAGTCAAATGTTAATTAAATCAGCTTTCCTTCAGACAGTGTTCTGAATGTCTGATTTCTCCAATGATAAGAGGAAACTGATAGATGTCCTTTGTCAACTGTGCCATATTTGGGTCTTTCTTACTCAAAATTATTTCCATTTTTTCTGGTTCTCCTCCCATATTAAACGCCAAGCTTTTGTCCATCCTGTAAACCGGTTGAAGGTTTTACAGGCCTTTGCAATCTCCCTCATGTTCTCATGTCGTTTGGAAGATTTCCAATTATCTTTTAATTCCATTCTGTTTCTGGTGTTGTTGTGAGAACTGAAGTTTCTACCCCAACACTGCTCATCAAGGGCCTGTGTGTACTGTTGAGAATTTGTCACAAATGGTTCTAGAGCTGAGGACTGGATTTTATTTGCTGTTATTGGAGAGAAAACATAGTCTGTGTAATTTTCTCACTGCCAACTTCACAAGTGTAATGCATCTCAGCCTTTGACATCAGAAAGGAGAATTTAATGTCAAGTGAAACCCACTGTACAACTGTCTCTTCATTATGGCCCACATCTATGCAGCCCCAAATTGTCTGGTAGATTTTAAAGACTTCGAGACAGAAGGACAGTTGTGGATGAGAAGAGTGTGTTGGTCGTGTCACTGTATGAGATGGATGTTGTAGGTCAGGTCATCCTATGAATTAAGAACACTGGGCCAGGTCACTGTATAAGGGGGAAATGGTGGGTCAGATCATTAAGGGGAAGGAGAGGTGACTTTGGTCACCCTGTGGAAGGAGGGATAAGCATTGTATAGGTAGTTATTAGCCATTAGAGACTATTAACTCTTGTACATTTGTTACTGTAGTGAAAACTCTAACAATATGGTCTGCTTGAGTTTTCAGCAGCCCTCAATGCCTTGTTTGGTGTAATACAATGACAATATGGAGAAAATAATTTGATCAAAACAAGGAATACACTCTTCTGCTCTGAATGAGCGGATGTCATAGAGTCATAGAGCACAGAAGCAGACCCTTCGGACCAACTTGTCCACGCTGACCAGGTTTCCTAAACTGAACTAGCCCCATTTGCCTGCATTTGGCTCATATCCCTCTAAATCTTTCCTATCGATGTAGTGTCCAAATGTCTTTTAAATGTTGTAATTGTATTTGCCTCTACCACTTGCTGTGGCAGCTTGTTCCATATATGCACCACCCTCTGTGTGAAAAAGTGTTCAAATGTATTTCTTGAGGGACAAGGGCATCAATGCTGTACATTGTGTACTTATCCTTGTGTACATTATCCTCCAATATGCCTGTGATATCCACTTTAAATGTTTCCAACAGTCTCACTAACAGCAAGAAGATTGCACAATCACAGAAATCATTGTTTCTTTTGTTTTCAGGAATGACATATTAACATAAATCTTCCCGCCTTACACTGATCTGTATCCCCATTTGTATTCCCAATATCAATGTGATTTACAATATAGAATTCATATATCAATTAAGTCATGGAGACATAGAGTACAGAAACAGACCTTTTGGTCCAGCTCCCAAAGTAAACTAGTCCCACTTGCCTGTATTTGGCCCATAACCCTCTAAACCTTTCCTATGCATCTACCTATCCAAATTAATTTTAGATGTTGTAGATGTACCTGCATCTGCCACTTCGTCTTTTAAATTTGTTTCAACATACTCCCTCTACAACATACTGTATATTGTCCTGGAATCAGTCGTTCCTGTATAATCTGTTGCAAATTCTGACGATATTAACCTTCTTCCTTACCTACCCTGGGTCCTTCTGTCGGTACAGACTCAGTGGGCCGAAGGGCCTCCTCTGTACTGTACGACTGTGATTTTTACCAAACCATGGACTTTCCTTGTTTGAAGGATGACATTCTATCTTTGCTTACTTATTCCTTTACTCAAAGTCAGCCCTTCGATTGATTGTGAATTGTTTCACCATGCCTACCCCGTTTCAGTTACAAATGTTGAAGTATTGGCTGCACCCCCACGAGGTTTCATTTGTTTAAAGCCACAAACAGAAGGTTCCAGTGTTCGCCTGAAGTTTGGTATAAATCAGCGTTGCAAATACGGCAGAGTTTCGGCGAATAAGGGAGATTCAGGCCAGCCCCGCCCCTTCATTCTCACTGATTGGTTGGATGGCTGGGCGTATTTCCCGGTTGTCCCGCCCCCTCGTCCTATTGGTCCGCAGCTGCCGTCAATTGCCCGGGCGGCGCTGAAACGATAGGGTGCAATTTGTCGCAGATGTAAACTGCTCGGATTCCCGAAGAAGGGATGCCGGCAGGTGGATCGGGAGGCTTCATAAAGAGGCAAAGAAGACTTAAATGGGAAGCTGCTGGCTCGGTATTTAAACCAGTAGCTGCTCTCCTTGATACCGCGCTATTGAGTGGCGGCAATGGTGACGTGGCGCTTGCTGGGCTCAGGGAGCCAATCAGGAAGATCCTCACCCTGCCCCGCCCCTCACTGCCCTTAAAGCCGCCTGCTCCGTTCAATGCTATCACCATTCATCCTCTAGATCAATGCAATATTCTTCTCTTCTTCCCATATACTTCGATCCGTTTAATAGCTAAAAAGTGTCTTTCTCTTCCTGTTCCTCGAACGTACTTAGTGACCTGGCCTCCACAGCCTTCTGCGGTAGAAAACTCCACAAGTTCACCACCTTCTGAGTGAAGAAATTCCTAAATTTGGATCCTGAGCCTATAATCCCTGGTTCTAGACTGCCCGACCTGGGAAAACAAATCCAAAAATTGCTCGGGAAAACTCAACAAGTCTTGTAGCATCTGTTGACAGAAGACAGAGTTAATGTTCTGGCTTCAGGGAAAACATCCTGCATCGTCCAGCCCTCTTAGAATTTTATATGGTTCAATCAGATAACATCCCTCTCGTTCTTCTAATAGCAAATGAATTCAGGCCCAGTTGGGTCACCTTGTATCCTCATATGACAGTCCTGCCATCCCTTGTATCAACCTAATGAACCTTTGCTGCCCTGGCTGTATGGCAGGTACATCTTTTCTTAGATAGGGATACAAACTGTACACAATAGTCCAGATGTGGACTTAACAAGGTGCCTGTTTTGCTGCACAACTCACTAATCCAGTGCTGCTGTCAATCTCTCTGGGCATTGATCATAGCATGTTGTGATTTGGAACAACTTGCCTGTCACCTCCACAGGCGCTGGAGGATGTAATGAAACCAGAGGCTGGGTTGGGAACACTTTGCGGAGCCACAGAACCTGATTCCAAATTGGCATCTCCCTAGTTTGCAATTGTGGGGCTGCTTCTTCCGTCCTGGGAACAGGGCCGAGACAATGCCACTATTTTTGGGCAGCCAGTGGATGACGGTTTACAACAGTGGAGATGGGACAATAAATAAGAAGTTCCATTCTGGGGAAATCAATGGGCCTCTGATCTTTGCTCAGTAAGGAACCTGGGAGTGGATGGATAGGATTCACAAACATTTTGCAGGAAGCTCCAAGCCCTGAATCAGACTCATTGATTTGATTCTCAGTCTGCAGACAGGAACTGGGAAGCTGAAGACAAGCAGAGGAGATGGAAGGAAGGAGGAAACTGGGAGTGGAGGATAGACTGGTGCAATGTATTTGGTATGAAGGCTTTAGATTTTAACACTGGGTGAGAGCATGAGTTGCGCTGGGCATCAACCTTTGGGGGATTAAGAAAGACAAAGATGTTCCATGAGAATTCTGTGTTTTGAATTGATATCCTATCCTTTCAGTGAACAGTTTTATAAACTTCTTTTCCAGGTTGTTAGAAGGGGAGGATTGGCAGACAGAAAACTTAAACACTGCGTCATTGCTCCATTTTATCAGCCTTTGAACATGAAAGTAGAAATCGTTATTCTATCTGTGGCATAACATTTCAAACACCAGTGTAACTGGGAAAATAGAGACACACAGCTTCATCTAAGTGACTATGTTCTAGTGAACTGACTTTGGTCGGAGCCTTAACCAGTTAAACCGCCTCAAAAAAAACCTTAACACACCATTCACAGCAAGGAAAAAATGAACACGTGATATGTGGCGTCAATTGTTCATCCAACCTGGAGAGACAAAAGGACATCTGCACCATTGAGAAATCGTGAAAATATAAGGAGTGTGCAAAAATATTTGATTATTCAAATCTGCTGGAAATCCATCGACAGAATCACACTGGGGACAGACCATTCATTTGTTTGTGAGAACTGATTGACTAAGTCATTTGACCTTTTGTCCACCAGCGAATTCACAATGAGGAGAAGTCATTTGGCTGCGGTTCCTGTGGAAAGATGTTCGGCAATTACTTCACACTCTCTGTGCACCAATGTACTCACACTTGAGAGAGACCAGTCACCTGCTCCGAGTGTGGAAAGGGATTCACTCAGTCTTCTAATCTGCTGACACACCAGCAAGCCCAGAGTGTGGAAAATGCTTAAAACGTTCCAGGGAACTGAAGTGTCACCAATGTGTTCACGCTAGGTTTAGGCAATCATCCCAACTCACTGTACACCAGAGGATTCACAGTGGGGAGATGCTGTTCACCTGCTGTGTGTGGAAAGGGATTCACTTAGTCATCCAACCTGCCGAAACACCAGCAAGAAAGTAAAGTGATTGGATTTTGCTGTTAATCTCATCTGGAAGTAAACTATGTTCATTGGGATTTGTTTCTGGTGATGTTAATAAGTCTCAGTCCAGTTATATAGTTATAAGGGTGCAGCAGGAGAGCATTTTGCCCATGACTTCAAATGTTCTCCAAATGAGTATCTCACTTAGTACCATTCTCACATCAAGTATTTTCCCACATCACACTTGCTACTTTTGCAAATTACTTTTCATCTGTGTTTTTTCTTTCTTGATCCTTCTTTGAACAGGAACAATTTCTCACTGTCTACTCTATCCAGACCCTACATGATTTTGAAAACTTCAGTCAAATCCCCTTTAGCCTTCTCTTCACTAAGAAAAACACAGTCTCAACTTCTGCAATCTATGTTCATAGCTGGTGTTTCTCATCTGTGGAACTGTTTTTATAAATTTGTTCTGGACTTTCCCCATTGATTACTCATTCATCTTAGTGTCGCACTAAGAACTGTATATCCAGTTTTTGAACTATGGTTTAAATTATGTAACGTCAGCATAACCTCCTTGCTTTTGTACTTTATACCCTCATTAATAAAGTCCAGTATGTTTTTTTAACTGCTTTCTTCCTTTAGCCAGGTATGCTATGGCACATCTTTTGGAGTAGTACCCTTTATTTTATATAGTCTGTGACAATGTAAACTTCAGAACCTTAATAACTTCATGGATTGAAAGAATCAGCAATAGCTCTTTCTGGAATAAACTGTTTCCTGAGATGACAGGGTCAAGGACAAACTGTTGAGAAATTAAAAACAACATGCTACTTAACCACCCAGGGAAGAAGGAGTCAAAGCGACATAAATAAACTATTTCCTGGGGGAGAGGAGGTAACACTCTCATGACAAATGGGCAGTTAAGATTGTCTGCAGAAGGAATGTCCTGAAATAAAGGGGTTAATTGAAGGACAGGCTGTTTCAAACAGATAGCTAACATTGAAAGTAACAAGAAATAGGGGAGCTACTTCGGATGAGAAGGCAAGTGACAGACTTGAGGTCTCCAGAAGTGTAATCAATTTTAGAGATGGAACAATCTATTGAATCATCAATAATGTCACACTGCAAACTTGAAAGAGGAAAACTGTATAAGAATCCAACAGCAGAACAATTCAGCAGCAGAACTTTAAAGAACAACATTGCACAAGGATCAAACCCTCGATACTTCCAGAGACAGAAATGATTGGTTGGAATCTTAGCTGAATTTTATCATGATGTGGTGATGCCAGTGTTGGACTCGGTTAGACAAGGTCAAAAATCACAGAATATCAGGTTATAGTCCAACAGGTTTATTTGAAGACGCAAGCTTTTGGAGCTCAGTTCCTTTCTTAGGTGTAGTATGAGAGAGAGGGTGTAAGACATAATTTATATGGAGAAAGGTAACAACCCTAAATCTGGCTGCCTCTTGTTGAATCTTTAATTAGTTAGAAAGGAAACTACTGATTAAAATGCAAAATCCAAATTCCTTTCAAGTCATTGTCACAACATAATTGAACGTTTTATCATGTATACAAGAGGTGACATCTCAGGTCAGACAATGCATTTTAGGTTTGAGGTCTTGCTTAGAATCTGTCTATGTTTTAAACTGGGGTCAGGTTTTTTTGAGCAAAACAGAGTGTATCCACAACTATGCAAACATCTTGGATGAAATAATTCGTGTGTCTGTGTGTGTGTGTGTGTGTGTGTGTGTGTGTGTGTGTGTATGTGTGTGTGAGATTCTTCCACAAACCACAAGATGTCAGCAGCGAGCCCAATGAGACAACCATTGAACCAGATCAGTCGACAGGGAGATCTGTAGTGGAGCAGCCAAAGAAGGAGTTGTTTTGGACCTAGACTCAACATGTATGCTCAAGCCATCAGGAAACATGTGAGTGCCAAATTAATTAGCTTCACTTGCAAGGTGGCGCAAAACATCACCCAAGCACAATGCATAGCCGTCTAGGCTCTCAAGACCACTCACAATATTGTCATCAAACCAGCAGACAAAACAGGAGCCACCATCATACAGAATAGAACAAACTACTGCAAAGAAATGTCCTGTCAACTGAACAACCAGGAACACTACAGACAATGACCTGCCGATCCAACCAGAGAACACACTTGTGAACTCAACGGACTGATCAAAACTTTTGATCCAGTCCTTCAAAGTCCCTTACACACTCTCATCCCATGTATTTCTCGCACAGGGGACTTCTCCCGCCTTCTTAGGATTCACAAAGCCAACATACCTGGATGTCCCATCATATCAAGCAATGAGACCCTGTGTGAAAACCTCTCTGGATATGCCGAGGGCACCTTGAAACCCACTGTACAAAGAACCCCCAGCTTCTGTCGTGACACCACAGATTTCCTACGGGAACTCAACACCCACAGGCCAGTTGACCCAGGAAGACTCCCTGTCACAATGGATGTTTTGGCACTCTACGCTAACATCCCCCATGATGACGGCATCACTGCAACAGGCTCAGTACTCAATACTAACAACTGCCAATTTCCAGACGCCATCCTACAATTCATCTGCTTCATCCTCAAATACAACGTCTTGACCTTCAACAAGGGGTTCTTTATTCAGACACACAAAACAGCCTTGGGGACCAAATTTGCACCCAAATATGCCGACATTTTCATGCACATGTTCGAACAAGGTGTTTTTGCTACGCAAGATCTCCAAGCTTTACAGCAGATACATTGACGACATTTTCTTCCTTTGATCTCATGGCAAGGAATCACTGAAACAAATACATAGTGATATCAACAAGTTTCATCCCACCATCAGACTTACCATGGAGTACTCTTTAGAATCAGTCTCATTCTTGGACACATGCATCTCCATCAAGGATGGACACCTCAGTATCTCACTTTACCGCAAGCCCACAGATAACCTCACGATGCTGCACATCTCCAGTTTCCACCCTAAAAATATTCTAAAAAAGCCATCCCCTATGAACAAGCCCTATACACACACAGTATCTGCTCAGATGAGGGGGAACGCGAGGAACACCTGAAGGTGTTGAAGGATGTCCTCGTAAGAACAGAATACGATGCTCAACTCATCGATTGCCAATTCTGTCATGCCACAGCGAAAAACCATAATGACCTCCTTAGAAGACAGACACAAGATACGACCAATAGGGTACCCTTCATCACCTAGTACTTCCTGGGAGCAGAGAAATGACGCCATGTTCTTTGCAGCATTCAACACATTATTGATGATGATGAGAATCTCACTATGATTTTCCCTATGCCTCCACTACTCACCTTCAAACAACCACCAAACCGTAAACAGACCCATTGTTTGCAGCAAACTACCCAGCCTTCAGGATGACATTGATCACAACACCACACAACCCTGCCATGGCAACCTCTGCAAGACATGTCAGATCATTGAAATGGATACTACCATCACACTTGGGAACACATACATGGCAGATACTCATGTGACTCAGCCAATGTTGTCTATCTCATATGATGTAGGCAAGCATGCCCCGAAGCATGGGATATTAACAAGACCGGCAGACGCTACGACAATGGATGAATGGACACCATGCAATGATCACCAACAGGGGTGTTCCCTGCACTTAAGGGGTCAAGAACATTCAGCCTCTGGTCTTCGGGTAAGCATCCTCCAAGCTGGACTTCAAGATACACAACAATGTAAAATCACTGAGCTGAGGCTGATAGCCAAGTTCCATACCGATGAGGACGGCCTCAATTGTAATCTTGGGTTTATGTCACAGTACAGGTGACCCCACCACACTACATACTCACATACATACACACACACACTCTCTCACACAAACAATACTCACACATTTGCACAATTACACAGAGCCTCTCACAGACACACACACACATAAGCTCTCACACATATACACTCCCTCACACTCGCACTGTCTCAAGCACACAAACACACACACACGCACTCTGTTTTTCATGCAGATTCACAGACACACACATAAATTATTTCATCCAAGATGTTTGTGTAGTTGCAGATACATTTTGTTTTGCTCAAAAACTAACCTGACCCCTGTTTAAAACATAGACAGATTCTAAGCAAGACCTCACACCTAAACTGCTTTGTCGGACATAAGATGTCACCTCTTGTATACATTGATATAACCTTTAATTATCTTGTGATATTGACTTGAAAGAAGTCTGGATTTTGCATTTTAATGAGTAGTCTCCATCCTAACTGATTAAGGATTTAACAAGAGGCAGCCAGTTTTAGGATTGTTACCTTGTGCTTATAAATTTTGTCTTATACCCTCTCACAGTACACCTGAGGAAGGAGCTAAGCTGCGAGATTCTATCATTAATCTGGTAATAGGCAAGTTGTGTTGGGAGGCTTAACTTGCTTACTTGAGGGGTTATATTTTGGTAGCTACATGCAATAAAGTTTAAATCATTGTTTCAGTACTTGTTTGTTTGAGATTTCTTAATAAGTATCTGAATTAAAGGTAGCTTGTGATTTACATGCAACATGTCTCTGTACAATCTTTCTAAAAGAATGTATCTCCTCACAATCCTCTGTATTGAACTCCATCTGCCCATTCTATCAACGCGTTAAAGTCCTTTTGAAGTGTTACACTGCCCACACAGTTTAAAATTCTTTCAGGTTTTGTAAAAAGCTCTATAAAGTCTTGTAAACCAGCAGTTGTGAATTTGATTCTCACTGAAGCCTCTGAGGAATTTTACACTCTCCTCACCTTAAAAGAAATTAAATGTATCAAAGGAAAGGGGAAAATTTTAAATCTCTGAAAAAATAAACAAAAAAGAAGGTTAATGTCATGTACCATTTTTAGAATAGAATCCCTACAGTATGGAAGCAAGCCATTTGGCCCATTGACTCCACACTGATCCTCTGAAGAACATCCCACCCAGACCTAGCCCCCTACATTTTACATTATTAATTCATCTATCCTGCACATCTCTGGACACAATGGGTAACTTAGCATGGCCAATCTACCTAACCTGCACATCTTCTATGGGATGAAATCAGAGCCCTGGAGGAAAACCATGGGGAGAATCTGCAAATTCCCCACAGGTAATTGCCCAACACTGGAATTGAACCTGGATCCCTGGTGCCGTGAGGCAGCAGTGCTAACTGCTGAGCCACCATGTCACCCTAGCCACCTCCAGCATGATGCAACCAATAAATATAGCCTTTTCTATTTTTTCAGTATTCTAAAGGAAGCATTTCCTCTGTGAGATTCTGGTCCATTCTTCGTTGCCTCCAACCACTCAACCCTCTTGCACTTTACCATGCAATTGCTGGTGATGGAACACTTGTGTTTTTACTTCCTCACACTCAAAGGCCCTAAATACTCCTTCCAGGTAAAGCAGTGATACTTGTACTCCTTTAATCTAGTCCACTATATCCACTGCTCATAGGAATATAGAAACCAGGAGCAGGAGTTGGCAATTCAGCCCTTTAAGCCAACTTTATCATTCAAATGATCACAGCTGATCATTTAACTCAGTACCCTGCCACCCACCCCTCATTTTCTCTCCATATATTTTAGCCCTAAGAACTATATCTAAATGTTTCTTGAAACATTCATTGTTTCAGCCTCAACTGCCTTCTGCGGCAGAGAATTTCATAGGCTCACTACTGTGTGAGTGAAGAGATTTCTTCTCATCTTAGTCTTAA